TTGCGTTCTATACATGATTTTTGGTAAGATTACAAGATTATAAATATATATTATCTGTTTATCTGTGAGTACTTTTGGGCGTAAGGCGTGGGTAGCTGTATGCAAATCTAGTTGAACTTGTTTTTGAATGAACTGTTTGTTGTTCGACATCGAGATTCAAATGCCAAGGTATCTTATAGATGAATTATACTTGGCTGGTATAAGATTAAGTGCAGAGGTCGGGAGTTGAAAGTGCACAGCATTTTGGTTCTTAAATGGTGACAAGAACGTTGATTTTATCCAATTAACCTGGATAGAATTTAATTCATAAAAGCTGTCGGCTATACAGAGCAGGCTATTAAGGGACTCTTTAGATTGTGACAACTAAAGGGTATCGTCCATGTATGCTAGAGCTAGCACGTGTGCTGACAGTAAGTGATGGGTTTCTACATTTCTATGGTTAAATGGCGATGTAACATCTATGTTATACCCAAAAGTTGTATTTTGCACTCGGCATAATAAAGGGTCAAAATAAATGCACCATAAAATTGGTGATAAAATTTCGCCTTGGTTGATGCCAGAAAGAACTGGGTAGGTAGGGGTGGGACCATGCATCGTTAAGACTTGATTGAATCTAAAAGCGAACAGTGAGGAGATTAATTCAATAAAATTATTAGGCAGTCGTAGTCTGAGAAGAGATTTATAGAGTATTTCCAGATTGACCCTGTCATAAGCCTTTGACATATCTTGAAAGATGATCCATAGTTGTTTATGATGGAAGTGTGCATCTTTTTTAATATGATCAAGGATAAATATGGGATCTTTAATCGACCTATGTGGCAGTTCTGCAAAGTTATATCCTTTCAGAATATTATATCTAGATAGAATAGATAGTAGTCGGTTATTAATAAGTTGTACCATTGCCTTTCTCAGGCATTCAAGTAAAGTGATAGGTCTTGTGTTATTCAAGTCGTATGCCCATGGTTTCAGTTTAGGAACTGGGTAAACGAATGCAACGTTCCATGCATCTGGGAGGATTGATTTTCTAAGGCAGCTGCAGATAAAAATCCAAAATTTCTTTTTTGTTTGTACACCCATATTTTTAAGCATTTCATTATTGATTTTGGA